ATAATTTTATAGGTTATACTTATGATATTGGTTTGTCCTATATTTATGACTCCTGTATCCTTTGTTTGGTATAATTCTCTTGTTTGTCTTGGTATTAGCGTGAAGAGTGAAAAAGTTTTAAAGCCAATAACTCTAACATGTCATCCCCTCTCTACTCTCATTTTGGGTCACTAGCATTTTATTATGGGTCACTAGCATTTTTCCACATGCATGAGAATTTAAACTTTATATTTTCTTACACTATATCTCCTTCATTTCAATTTTTAAGTGGTGACTTTTATGAATTTATTACATCTTCTATCAATATTATCTTTATATATATATATATTTTTTATTTCAGAACATATTCGAACACAACATCTTAAAGATGATGAAGACTTTTCCACTCATAATAAGTTAACTTGTAATAGACACTTAATTTGTAAAAGGAACTTATTATTTTCTCTTTAATAGTTATATTTTAAAAATAAAAAGATGCTTAATTATGTGCACCATAATTCCATTTGATGGCATGATATGCGTTGTCTAGATTGTTCTTAAAACAAATAAAGAGAAAAGAAAAGATGAGAAAACCTATTGTACACCATTTTATTCTTTCAAAACAATATTATTTCCATGTCCTTAAAATGATCTAGAATGTTCTTGAATAAAGAAAGGAAAAAAATAAGAGAATAAAATTAAACAGGAAAATATTCTTTGTAAAATTACAATATTACCCTTAAATTGCAATTATGAGGAGCAAATGTCCACCACTCATATAATTTTTGGGAAAAATGTTTCAAGGCCCCAAAACCAAAAATCGGATGTGGGCAGCCCCCCTGTATTTTTTTTGGTGAAAACAGAGACAGCAACTTGTCTCGTGGGCGAGACAGACTTTTCTGTCTCGCCCACGGCGAAGACAATTTTGCTGTCTCGCGCCACGGCGAGAGCATCTTTGCTGTCTCGCCGTAACGGACAGAAATTTACTGTCTCCACGTGAGACAAGCTATTCCAGGATGGTCCAAAACCGCCTTTGTAATGCCCTACACGTGCCACACTGTGTTCAAAGAAACGTGGGACAACGTCGGCTGGGCGAGAATCACGTGGATACTGCCAGAAAATAACCGGAGTTATGAAACGTGAGACAGGCAGTTAAAATGAAAACTTGCCTTGGGTTACTGTTTCCGAGCACACGTATTTTACTATTCTCGCGGGTCGAACGCAAACACTGTCCGCCCCAGGCGAGACAAGCAAATACTGTCTCGCCCGCACGAGAGCAGAATGCTGTTCGCAGCACTGTCTATTAAGCCAGAGGGTTATAATAGCCCCCGAAGGCCATTTTTCACAAGGGCTCCAGAAGATCCAAAGCTGATGCATTGTGAGCACTTTTAGAGCAATCCAGAGCAGAGAGGGAGCAAGAGGGCTGGATCTTACGCGGCCAATTCCTTGAATTGAGGCTTTGACTTGGCATTTTCAAGCCAAGAACGGACTATCTACGAATCGATAGCATATCGTTTCAATTTCACTTCGATAAACAGAAGTCAGAATCATATACCTCTCCAGCGGTTAATCAGAATCTGTGACTTGGTGGTCCACGAGTCAAAGCCCTCCCGGACAGGCAAAGATCCGACACAGACAGGATCAGAACAACGATCCTCTGGCGTTTATTTCTTCTCAAGAGTTGTAATTTTCTTTTTGTTGTGTAAAAGAGTTTATAATAAAGGCTGTTTTCTTTGATTTATTGTAATCGGACGCGAAGATATAATGAATTCAACGACAAAACCGCAACTTTTGACAAACGGCTTCATTACAACGGCTAGTTTCTGTTCGCTTATGGCAATATATATGTGACATGGACCAGCTAATATTAAATGTATGTTCTAATTTCTTCCCTGCACTTGAGTTTGATAGAGTGATGATCGAGAACATCAGAGACTATCTAGTCACAAGAAGAGGTATATTGTTTTGTCAAATTCCACACCATTAGGCAGTGCAAAAAGGGAAGAATACAAGGAAAATACTTGTTGGGATGATGCAAATTTCCCAATATGCAATGCAATTTTTTGAGTTGGGCTCACAAGAGAATGCAACGCCTTATAAGATTATTCCATTCTGCCCAGAAGTCCGCCGTTGAAGATGAATAGCGACCAAAAGCAAGCAACTGAAGAAAGCACTGAAGCCAATCGAACCGTGAAAGGTCAAAAAAATTGGAAATTTGCTCTTCTTACCTATGTTGTTTTTGTATGGTAGCTATTTTCTTCAGAGCATTGTGATCTGTAAGAGTGAAATCAACTGAAGAACTTGCAGTTTGGTTATGGCTTATTGCTTGTAAGTGTTAAATATTGATGCTGTCACCTTTCACTAATAGTAGTGCAATTTTAAGTGACATTTATGCGTTAATTCCCTTCTGAAAGGGTGATGTATCAGAGTTATATCGTTTACTTCTCAGCTAAAAGTGGTTATTATTTAGACTTTTACGTTAGCGTTTTACTGAATAGTGATTATTTATCTGAGTTATCCATGTTAACGTTTCTGAAGTGGTTATTGTTTCCTCGAGTTATATGTTATCTTTACTGAAGTGGTTAACTTCAGAATTATACGTTAACTTTTACTGATAAGTGGGTTTTTTCCAATTTTTTGGCTAGTTTTGTTTACTATTCAGCGTACTAGGTTATCTTGTTACCTTAGGAGGAATATGTGAAAGCTAACATATATAATTTTTTTCTCAATAGTATCAGTAGACATGTTCTATCAGTATACAGTCAACATGAACATGTGATGCAGCTTTCAACCTGTTATTAGAAATGATTACAATACAACCAGTTTCACAACCAGATATGTGGATCTTTCTCATCCACTACTATCCAACCAAATTACACAAACAGTAGAATAACTGTCAAAGAGAATGTATACAAAGCTGCAATATATGTTAACTAAATTAAAATCTGTTAGTTAGTTTTGTTCCCATTCATCTGTTTCGTACACCAACACTTTTTAGGATATCAATCACGCATCCTTTTCCACTGTCTCCCTTGATTTTTCTTTCCCATCCTCTATTAGGAGTTCAGCTGCAGAGCCTGGCAGCGGATGATTCAGACTCGTCAGAGTGCATTAGTTATACTTCGAGGGTATGCTATACCCATGGAATTATAGGCCTTTATATATGTAAAGGAACGAAAAGACCACAATCAAAGCTGCATGATATAGAGATGGAGCAGACTAGTTAGATATAAACGAGCTGAATAAAATGAAAAATGTTTAAATTTAGTTAAATACTACGACATGTTTAAATGCATGAAATACTAACATTTCCAGTCTGTTCTCCACAAGGGAGCTTCATATCGGAACTTTCTCACTTAAATATTATTCGGATCGAAACCAGACTTGCATATGGTCCATAATGGCAATTACTTTATTTACTGCCAACTATGCACTAATGGCCAGCCGAGCTGAATAATGCTTGACCAACCGTCCTCATGCAACCCTTACTTCAGCGCGCTACATGCCAGTGGTCAAGACGCACAAGCGGATAAGGAGTACATTCTTACATTGCGGCAGACATGCTTTTGTATGAAAGAGGTGTATAGATGTGGAAGATCTGGGGTGACTGTCAATAAGACTATCCTGTATTGCAAAAATTATGATAGCCAATTGTAAACATGAATATAAAAATGGTAGGAGATTGAATTGGGTGCTTACGCAGAAGAAAGTGATACAACCCATATTGGTTCGCCCATGGACTCACATCTGGCTCTCTTAGATATTGTGACGAGCCTATCCACAAGAGGTCCATCACCTGTAAATTTACACATGGAGGCAGAAACAAATTATAATTACCAGCAACCCAGTCTCTCATAAAATGCGTAAGAGATTAACTATCCAAACTTGCCATGGTCCATGCGATACGGCCACCACGTAGAAGATATAAGAGTTCCAGTTATGAATCGACACTACTGTTGAACGTTTAACAATCAGCACGTGACCTGAAGACATAACACAATAAGATCCAAACCTCATTCAACCACTTACTCATAAGAAAATATGGAATATTAACATGATTTAGCAAACCGTTAGCAAAATTGAGTATGAGTTAAGATAAAATAGGAAACGTTAACACGTAACGATGAAAGGCTAACATTTTATAGGCAAACGTTAGCATAAATGGTATAATTAGACATAAACCCTGGAAGATGTTAAACGCTAACAATGAAAGCTAACATGTCCTAAGCATACGGTTATTCAGGAATGACTAGACTTACTGATGGGCTTTTTTTGATTGGTCAACAACTCAAGAGATCCTTCTGTCTCATCTGGCGTGAGCTTTGATAATACGTGTTTGAGGTACCTACAAGTTGTGAACGAAGGTTCCTTTACGTACTATCAACAAACGTTGCTAAAATCATCAATGTTAAGGAATAAGTCCTCCGTTCAGGCAACTTCAAAAGAGGCCTCCTCCTTCTTCTGATTTCTCATCCCTTCAAAAAATGCCAAGTGCGATTCATGAGCTTACATAGAACCTGATTTTTTCCGCTCTCTTCCTCCTTGTGGTGTGATATGTTTAATTATTCTTGATGAATTTCTTCTTCTTTTCTTGAGTGAAAGGGGTGCGGACTAGTTGTGACGCGTTCGCCTTCTGGTACTTGTCCCCTAGTCCGCTTTGACGGCTAATCTCTCAATTCTTTCTGATAAACTTGCACGCTGTTTTCCGCTCCTCCCATCCTTTCTTCATCTTTCTTCTCCTCGCACATTCTCGCCTCCTCTGTGTCCACAACCTTTTCTTCATTTTCTTCTTATCTTTTTTCCTCTTACCTCTTCAGCCTTTTTCATCTTTCCTTCTCCTCACACATTCTCCCTCTCTGTTACGACCACTTTTATCTTCATCTTTCTTCTTTCCTTTTTCGCCTCTTCGTCTTCCATCCTTTCTTCATGCTTTCTTCTCCTCAGCACATTCTCCTCTCTGTTCCTCTCCACTCACTATTTCTTACATCTTCTTCTGATT